CTCCTCTGGAACTTTGTGGGACTGCAATCCCACATGGTAATGTTAGTGCTGTGCTCTAGGAGAAATAACGATGGCGACGATGTGATAATGTCCGATGACGAGTCATTGACGTGGGACGCTCAAAAGCCTTTTCTGGCATGATGCGGAAACCATTCTTGTACAAAGGAGTCGGTCTACAGGCATATTAACTACTTTCCTCTCAGGCTTAGGCCGCGTTCATACTGTGCGACTGGAGCGGTGCAATCGCGCCACTACGACAAGCCGCGCTCCACCGCCAATAATTGAACTAACGCGAAAGTCGTTAGAAAAAGATTCAATATGTCGCCTGCAGCCGTCCAATGATTAGCGGTGGAGCACTGCCTGACGAAATCGTGCGATTCACAAATCGCACGATTCACAAGCTGCTTGACTAAATAGCTAATTATTACCGTGTCGTGGTGTAGAAAGCCTCACTCCCGAAGTGATGTCCAGTATTCCAAAAATCAAAATGAAAAAGGTGTACGTTGTGTACATTGTTAGAAACAATTTCCTTAGCATTGTGTACGGGCCTGATGAACGTACGGCCATGTCTTATGTTAGCGAGTAACGAGTTGAGCTGCAGACCTGGCTCAACAAGGGTTACTTACAATTAGCAAATTCTTAAAGAGTTTAATAGCCATTAAGAATTTAAGCCATTTTTTTCCTTTATTTACCTTTTTAAGATATTGCCAACGGGTGAGCTGCGTGTGGAACATTCTCCTATAATCAAACTTCCCTCTTTTCTGGGCAGAAGAAGACCGCCGAAGGTATTGTTGTTGCACTATTTTTCGACCAATGACCAGTATTTCTTGTTTATCGTGGGAATCATCCTTGCCAACATTTGAGGTACTCTTACCAGTACTGATAATTCTTAAGGGTCTTCTCAATATTCGTCTTGCCGGCGTCGATATGTCTGAAGCTGGACAACAGTTCATATCAAAGGATTTGCGTCTGAAGAACAAGCCAATTGTTTTCACCGTTATAAAGGTTGGTACATTCTTGCTAGCCAGCATAGCTCACCACATCCGAGCGGAGCCTGAAACGCAACGTCCGCCACTTTTGCGTCACGGTCCAGTCAATTCAACCTGGCAATGCCGCTTTGCTTCAATTCGACCAGCGAGGAATTAGTCTGCTAGTTCGCGCGCGTCCGCGACTCAAATGTCGAGGGCTAACCGTTTGTTACTTTCTTTCACTTCATTTTTTTTCTTTCTGCAAAGACTCAAATAGGTTTTGACCTTACAGGGGAGCGAGAATTCTACTGACGCTGTTGATGCGGATGTTACTGTCAAAAAGGTTTGGGCTTTCTACGAACTTACTTTCGAAGTTTTATATCATGATAATTGCTATTTTACGCCGAAGTTCGCGTTCTGGAAGTTATCACAAGCCGTTAAGCTGAGAGGGTAAAAGCGGCCCTGGTGGCGTAACGGAATAGCGCACTCGCCCGGAAAGCATGAGTGCGGGTTCGACTCCCGCCCTAGGCACGACTTTGCTCATAACCCAGCATTCTTGTGATAACTTCCAGAACGCGAACTTCGGCATAAAATAGCAATTATCATGATATAAAACTTCGAAAGTAAGTTCGTAGAAAGC